CTTGGCGAGTAACAAATGCTGTCTTAGCCTTATCCTGTGGCTCTAGCTCAACTTGCCAGTAACCAGCATTTAAGTCCAAAGTACTAAACCACTTGGCACCACGCAGCTGGTTTAGAGACTCGTCAATACGAGGTAGTGGGTAAGCGTCCTTTGTTGTAACACTATTTAAGCGCCTGTAGTCTACACAGAATCTTGTAGATCCGTCTTTCTTCTTTACTAGTACAATTGCAGAAGACCAAGGGCTTTGTGATGGTTCAATAATACCTCTACGTAGCATGTCAGAAACATGTTCTTGAACCTCTTCTTGCATGTGGAATGGGAGACGCTTTGGTGCCTGTTTAATAGGTGCATTGTTACCTGTTTCTATCTTGTGTCTGACTTTGGCAGTTCGTCCTACGTCCTCATCAATCTTGGAAAACAGTGATGCATATCTCAGTAAAAGATGTTTGGCTTTTTGTCTATCTCCCTCATCTAAATGACCAGTACTGCTTCTATAAAGCTCTCGCAAATGTAATGGAATATTACTGTTCTCATCAAGATGACAGTTTCTCCCCGGTATCAATGACACAACCTCATCAACTGAGGTTAATTTTCCTACAACAGTTCCAGGGTACATGGTTCTACTATCATCTGAAATATTCATGATACGGATGGGGACCATTTCCTGTCTCCGGACAAGTGCTTTAGCCAGCAAGCAAAAGTCTGACTTAAGAAGTTTCTCAGCTGGCTCTATCAAACCAACTTTAGTCGGAAGTGTTCCATCCGAACTTGCACATATTTGTCCCTCTACCATGACTTCTGATCTAGCTGGTACAGTGATCCTATGTACAATGGCTACCTTATATGAACTCGCCGACCCTTCCAGCTGAATAGGGTGCTCTATGCCTGAGATTGATATCTGATGCCTACGCATGTTAATTATTGCCTCATGCTTTACCAAGAAATCTAGACCTAGTATTCCGTCTACAGTTATGTCAGCTATAATCATCTCATGTTGCAGCTCAAGGTCATCCAGCTTAAAATCTACTGGAACTTTCCCCAACACCTTTAGTGTAGTTCCGCTAGCTGATAATACGTCTCTCGTTACCTCAGTCAATGCATAACTTCCTGTCCTTGCAATATTCTCATAACATATTGTAGAAAGCAAAGATACTGTAGCACCTGTATCAATCAACAAGTATGCATCCATTCCATGGATACGGGCAGTAACATAAACCCCTTTCCCGTTAATAGAGTTTACAGCCCTAGAGTACTCATCATTTACAGTATGATCTTTCTTTAAACCTGCTTCAGGTTTATTTTGCTCCTCCCTCTTACTATCAGTGTTGTCCCTAAACTTGTGTTCATGCTCTTTCTTAAGCTGTGGGCAATCTCTTCTCAGATGTTTATCAGATCCACACTTGTAGCATTTCCTAGCTCGAATTTTATCATCTGTGTGTGTCGCTGGACGAGGCATACGTCTCTGACTTTGTGACTGAAACTTCCACTGTTTCAATTCTCTCATATCACGCTGTAAGGAACGCATGTTCTTTTCAACTGTTTCTATGAAATGATCGAGTTTCGAGGCCTTAGACGAGTCCTCTGTATTCTCACTCATCACCCTGACTGCATCTATGCGACGGCTCTCTGCTCTGCTGTATGCTTCTAGTTCAACAGCTCTCTGTATTGCATCATTTAAGTTCATAGGTCTCGCCTGCTTAATCTTGAGACACATTTCTGAGTTGTGCAACCCATCTAAGAATTGTTCTGTCGCGAGTATTTCCCGGACGTCATCAGGAGCAGTTGGGTAGGCTAAATTTATGAGTCTTCTTATGTCTTGACCCATCTCCGGCAAACTTTCAGATGCCTTTTGTCTTCTGTCTCTGAGCTGTGCTCTGTATAGCTCTGTCTGGTTTAAAGGCGCAAACCTATCCTGTAGGGCTTTGACTAGTTTACCGTAGTTCTGTCGTCCCTCTCTAGGCTGATTTCCTAATACTCCTTGTGCTTGGCCTCTAAGGGATGCAGCCAAGTACAATCCCTTCTCAGTCTCTGTCCACTCATTTAAAAGACAGACTGATTCGAAATGCGACAGATAATCGTTCCACAAACCTGACCCATCATATGTAGCTGGCTTTATAAAATTTCTGGATCGGGCTTGTCCTGGGTTTGTATCCTTCCTTGGCTTGGGAGCACGCATGGGAGCTCGAACATTAGGTACAGAACTTTCATCATTATCAGTACATGCACAAACATCATCACTGACATATCCACTAACACTATCTCTCCGTCTCTCATGCGGAGTACTGGTACTCATGCCTGGTCTGTGTCTCAGGACGCCTGGAGTCCGTGTACCAGGGGAATTCCTACCCATGACAGAGTCATGTATCTCTCTATTTAAACGAATTATTTCCCTTTCCAAAAAATCAACATCAGCTTGTAAATCTGTCATTCTTATGAATGTAATAAAATGCTATCAATGAAATTAACTTAAAACAACGACCGATCCAAATCCCGACGCTGCCGCCAATTTTTGTAACGTGTTTTGGGTCCGATGATTTGGACCAGTCTGGGAGGATGTATAAAAATGATCAAAATTACAAAAATTATGTACAAAAGCTAATATAAGAACGAGTCAATATATACATATACATATATCTAGGGTTATCTATCCCTTTAATATAAAAACTAATAACAGGTAATTTCTTAAGGACAGGGCTCTGTCCTGTGTATCTGTCCGTGGGACGTGTCTCTGGGATGTGTTCTGTAGGCTGTGTCCCAAGACGGCTGTGTCCTTTTGATCTTATACAGGCTGCAGCCAGGTACTAGATATATATCCACCGCTCGTATATACAGCTAAATGCCACTGTATTTTCCGTAACAAGCTAGAAAACACAATACAACACTGGGCAGTTGTATTTAACACTATAATTCTTTTTATTAACTCTAACCACCGTACCTGTTAGCAACCTTCTCCTTCGACAGCCAAACACAGAATGACAATTTTACCTCGGATGCGCTCTTATATATACACCAGCGACACCCGGACTAACCTCGGCTTCCATCATACCCCTAATGATAAAGCCCGTCTATAATTGAATCCCGAGCCCGATCGTCACACTTCTATTGCTTTTATATCTAACCCTTATCTTACTTTTGTATGTTTATGGAACCAAATTTAAATCTTAAAATGATTTTAGACTGTGATACAATAAAATGATTCAATGTTTGTTGTCCTTACTGCTTTCCAAATATAGTGAATTTACACTTACCTGCCCTTGATTGAACATTAGATTTGCGTGAGAGGTGGAGCTAACATTGTAAGAATGGATCTAAAATTAGACTTGATAAATAAAAATGACATGTTTGGAAAAGCAAACGTTATCACTCTTTCCAATCGCCCTCTCCATTCTGTATGGCACAAATACACTTCTGACAAAGGTTTACAAAATGAAATTAACAATAGGAGCATGTCAATGTAATTAAAGCAGATTTTATATCAATGCCAGATGACTTAACGTGTTTAAACACAATGTCCTAGTTAGCACAAAACATGCTACCTTACAAGTCACCTGACGGAATTTAGTATTCACAAAGTTACCTGTGGTAAGAAATCACGTGGTGAATTTTAATATTCAACATGTCACAATCCTTGCATGGTTACAACACAGAAAGCGAATGTAAGAAGAAGCAGTTTTTTCTCTTTTTAATCATGAGTGCATGTTTGCAGTCTATTAATCTCCTTTTGACACATTATTATTTTTGCAAATATACAACTACTGTTAAACGTAGAACAATAGACAAACATGCGCTGACTATGTATAAAGTCAGTAAAATAGTGGGCGTCCTCATTATCGAACGGAGATTCAAGAAATTGTGATGACCCCTGCCTTTGAAAACAGATTCGAACTTCGTAAATACACACTTTTATTAAACATAATTACATAAAATTGTAGATTGGATGTTGACCATTCTTGCAATGAAAAGAAAAATGCTTAATTGTTTTGAAAGTTTATTTTGTCGCAAATTTCGCATGTCCTTAAGTGCAGTATCCTTTGTAAATGAAAAGAGCAATAAAATAATTTTTGAGTCGGGCTAATTTTTGTGGGTCGGTCGGATAAGGGCAAACAAACAATATTTTAATTTAGGCCCATGTATAATGAAACTCCAAAAAATAATAACTTTTATATTTCTATCAACTATGTTGATTTGTGTTTCAAAAGGGAAAAAAATGCACTATTAAACTCCATCATGGAAACACAACTAACAACATCATGTGATGTCACAGTCTATACCCTCCAAATGTCTCGTGGTTTGCTTTCCATACGCAAGAAAGCCTGATCACTTAACCAATTTCATGTCATCAAAATTAAATGTCAATTTCGTTAGCATTGTCATTAAGGGAAACACATTGGCAAATGTATATAAAAAACATGGTTACTACCTTGAAATACAAACAATATTTGGGAGAGGGTAAGAAAATTCTTAGAGGACCAGGCTCGCTGAGCCCTCTGTCACGTTTTCAACCCAAGCCCAAATATCATATATCAAGACAGTTACTGTAAACCAACTTTTATTTGCGTGTGAGAAATATCTGTGAGTTGCGTGACCTACCATAACTCACGAATATTTATCGCTGCGAACCGTTTATTTTGCTTTGTATATGTAGAGAATGTTTCCTCAATCACAAAAATTAATTGTTGCGTATTGATTTCAAACTGATGAATCATGAATAAAAGATGACACGAATAATAGTTGGTTTACAGTTTCATGTGTTTTAGATTATAGACATTTTTAGCATATTTTCAGCATTCATACAGCATTTATATTTTATTCACAGTGTGCTTTAGCATTTTTTCACTCATGATCCATTTAGCTTCATATGACGTAGTAGAAAATTTCAAGAACTACAGGCTTTTGAATTTAATATTAAAAAAAACTGGTAAGTAATTAAGGTACTGCTATCTTTTTAAAAAAAAAAATAGCATACTGAACATTAAAAGTACATGTATCTCTTTGTACAGGCACTTGCACTGCCTCAGAGTATCGATGTGACCGAGGACAGTGTATAGCCGGGGGTAACAAATGTGATGGTTACAAACAGTGTGGTGAATATACAGATGAGTGTGAGGTCACCAAGACGATGACCTGGATAGCTGGTGTCGTTATTGGCGTCATCGCTGTTGTGGTTGTGATTGGTGTCACAGTCTTCTGTCTCAGAAAGCACTTCCTAAATCGACAAAATTCTGGAGGTGCTGTCAAGGTTAGTAACAACAGTTTTAAAAATTCGTGTGTGCTCATATTGCCCTCTGGAATGATATGTTCAAATTTGCATTTGCCCGTCAAGCTTATGCCTTTTAAAAACTGCATTTTTCATTACCAAGATTAAAGAAATTGTGCATTATAAAAATGTTTGTAGGAGGGTGTCCAAGAATATAGATTATATACGTGTACATGTACTTTGGAAAATAATTTACTTGAACATATATTTCAAGTATATCATAATAAGCATTAACGATTATCCACTACCAAGCATTTTATCATGGTTCATGTACATGTATGTTTAAATGCAAGAATATAACTTTACGTTTTGTAAAATGAATTTTTCTAATATTTATTTGCAACTATGGCTAATCTAGTGATTTTTTTTTTTTTAGTACACAGCACCCCCACAACAAACCTCAACACCTTACTACCAACAGCCAGGGACAGCTCCTGGATACTACCCACAGGGGACAGCCCCTCCTCCACAGGGCTACCCCCCTCAAAATGTAGCTTACCCACCTCAGAACCCGACCTATCCACCCCTCTACCCTGAGCAGCAGCAGGGCTACCCACCACCGACTAATCCATACCCCTATGGAGCTCCAACCAATCAGTAAAGACATGATTTTAACTATGGTCTTCTTAGAGAACTTCAAGTTTTTGTTTCAAAAATACTTTTTTTTAAATTCTTTCTGTTGAAGTTTAGATACCCAAGCATTCCAGTGTAGTTTTATTGATGAGGACTGTATCTTTTGACCAGTGCTGAATTTTTATATTGGTTTGGTGTTGTAAATTTTTTGTTGTCATTTTTTGGGACAGGATTTTTTTTTCTTACAGATGGTAAGATATTTACTAGTGTCTTTTGAAAATTCTGAATTCAAATTATTGAAAATGACAATTTTTCAATTTTTTTTCAAACAAATTACAAATCTTAGAATTTAGTTATTAGAAGTTTGTTATGTCTATGCAGATTACGAGTAGATGCCTAAGTTCAGATACATGTATTATTATTGTTTTTATTCTTACTGGAGTTTAAAATCAAGATTTAAGTTTGTAGGTATATATTGTTCTTGTTATTGATTTATACTGTTTTCAGCTTTCTTATCTTAAATATATTTCTACCAGTGCTCCCTGAACAAATACATGTATGTACTATATAATGAATGTGTATTAAAAAAATGGAAGAAAATTAAGGGGAAAAGCCACCATTCTAAATTTTAATCTAATTTGTGTCTTTCCGTTTATGATAACATCCCCAGGGTCAGTTTGTGTTAACATTTAACATTTAATTACTAATTGTAGTAAATTCCGCTCTTTTAATAATGATCCAACCACTGGGTGTGACATTATTCATGGTATTATATTACTCGGTATCTACAGTAAAACATGTTTATTATCGGCCACCGCAGCAGCTGATCTATTTGTGGTTGTGTTAGAAAGTGCACGTGTGGAAATGATGCATTATTTTTTGTTGTTTCAGTAGAATAATTCCTTTATTGATAGTTTTAAAACATATTGTAAAGTTAATGGATATAACGAATTATGTATATAACAGAGCAAAGTTGTTTGTTGCTGGCACTTGGCTATAAGCAGCCATACATGTGAGAAGTCAAAGACCACAAAACTGTACAGGAGCCATAAAAAAACTGGAATTTGGGTGAAAAAACTGTACACTGCTTATCAAAAAACGGTACAAAAAAATGGTATAAAATATCGCTTAAATTCTTCTGAAATTCCATCGTAATCATTGTAATAAACATCGTATATTTTATACCTACGAAGATCTGGGTCAGATTCACGTATATTAAGACTAAAGTCATGTATATCAACTTTCGAAGTTGGCTTAATTTTTTTCAATCAAGTTACGTATGCGAAACATTAACAGTAATTAAGTACCCCTTAAAAAATAAAGCTACCTAAAGGGATATTTGATACGGATTTATAGCAAGATAATTATCCCAATTGGCAGTTCACACCTTCGCACGCGATGGTTTGTGTACACTACACAATTATCAGGTCAAGTGTCAAACACAGGTGACGTTTTTCAGTGTCTCGCGAGCAAGAATGAGAGGAAAATGGCGGGCATTTAGCGAGAAATTCAAAATACTGTACAAATTTTCATATTCCGTGAATTTTGGTGTCCCGCCGGTACACAATAAATGGGCTCAAAAAACTGTACATTTTGCGTACAGCCTGTACATATCACATGTATGTAAGCATGTTTTACTGTATAATGTGTTACTATAGTACATGTACATGTATACAATAGTAAAAGTAGTGCCAAGGGCTTTTGTTGTTCTGTACTTTGTATATATTTAACTTATACGTAAATTTCCATGTTGACAATATTGATGTAAAGCTTTCAACCATTTTGTCCATTCAGTGTATGTTGATGTGAAACTTTCAGCCATTTTGTCCATTCAATGTATGTTGATGTTTTGGTCCTGAGGAAATTCTAATGATGATGTACTTGAATGTGTTCATTACATATAGGTTGTAACTGGGTGTCTTTCATTTTTTTTTTCACAATAATATCAAAAGCGCAGGATGCACCATTGTGATCCATTGATTTGCTAGGGAAGAAACACATTTATTTACAAAGAGTCTTGATTGGAGATCTTTATTTTAGTATTTTAATTGTTTGTTTACATAATACGATATTCCGTTATTTTGCTCACAAGAATCATCATTTGCAGTTTTAATTGCTGTTGGTTGTCAGTTTAACTTTTTGAATTGTTAATTTCATTGTTTGATAATCTTACTACATGTAGTAATTTACATTTGCAAAAAAAAAGTCTTGCTACAAATTGTTGTACGTTATGAATGTCATACATGTATATGAATATTCCAAATCTATCTAATATACTTCATTAATTATGTGATGTAATGTTGTCACTTCCCAGTTTTATACTTTGATATTAATATTGTACGTGATGCACACTTATATTGCAGCCTTCTTTCAATAAATAGAAAGTTATTAGCATTAAAATTAATAGTGTTTTGTACTGTTTTCCACAAGCTTTCATAATTTACTACTTGTAGTTACAAAATACAGAATTTTAATATAATGAGAATGTAATATTTACAAAATTGTGTTCTCAAGAAATTAATTGGAAAGATTATTTCAAAATTATAATTTTTAGATAGTGGTTCAAAACTTTTTGAACAATTTATTCTGTCTGTAAATTATTCTCTGTAAATGTCTAATGAAAATATGTCTCCTATCACAAAATGTAAGTGTCAATACATTAAAACACATTCCTTTTGATTCAAACAATCTGTTTGCCAATGCTTTTATAGTTTGTCCTTTTTGCGACCATGGTATTATACATTCTTGTAAGAAGTTTTTATATAAAATGTTGTTGCTACAAAAGTTGAAACCAAATGCAAGTGATGCCTTTTGAGGTCACCTGAGTCACTTCGGTAACATATAGCTATACACTTTTGTTCTCATGATGGTCTGATTTCAATATAACTTGCACTCAAGTGGACTACACTGAGATACATATAATTCTCTTTTTTTCAGTTTTTGATTATGATGAATGGTGTTGCCATGGTTACAAAAAATAGAAATTTCTTTGAAATGCTTTCAACACGCTGGTTCTCCCACAGTTTTGGGCTAATTTTAATATAACTTGGCATGCAAATAGCCTACACTGAGATACATACATGTAATTCTATGTATCCCCTTTTTGATTTTGATGAACCTGGTTACTAAAAATTGAAATTTCTGTAAAATTCTTTCAAAAGGCTACTCCTCCTACAGTTTTAGTCTGATTTCAACATTTCTTGCCACAAAATGACTTAAGGATATCCGATCCTCAGCCAGGAAGGATAACTCTTAAATTTGTTATTTTATTTAAAAAGTCTAAAAATGAAGCTTGAAATTGAGATCTTTTCGTGCAACAATTTTCATTTTATGCATCTTAATATGATTCAAGGTTCTTTGAAGTCTTAGAAACGGTCTTGTAAAAAGTTGACATTTGTACCCCATAAACGAACAAAATTAATTCATTTTTGGAGAAATAGAATTTCCTTTAGTCTAGCATTAGATACCAATGCTTATTAGCATGATATGAAATTAGACATGATATGTGAAGTCTAGCAATGATAGCACAAGCTGTTTACACGATGTATTATATGATGATTAACGTAAAAAAGAACTAAAATACTGTATAAGAATAAAAAAAAAATGCAATTTTTCTCCAAATGCCTGGATACCTATATTTTTCTATCCTGAATTATATTTGTTGATCAATTTTCAATTAGAAAATGCATAGCTGATGTTTTTATTCGCATTTCCTAAAAATATATTTGAGATTTGATAATTTTCCCTATATAATATGATTAACTATAATGATGAACTTTGAAGAAATTCCATGGATAAATTCACGTTACTATGTGAAATCAGAGACATTTTTGTGAGCATTTTCAATTACTTAAAAGCTAATTTTCAGAACCTGGGGATCGGAGTACATGTACCTTAACCAATGATCATTATTCTAGTTATTGCTGTTGCAGTTTCAAGTCCAAGTGCTACTTTTCCTTTTATACATACAAACCAGTAGAGCTACAGTCTTGTCAGAGACTTTTTTTGGATACCTTTATTCTTAATATGTTGTTTTGTTAATGTATTGTTGTAATTGTTATTGATCTATTTTTTTTAATATGTACACTTTAGAAATTCAAACTCATACAATTGTACCTATTGAAAACTTTAAAAATTAAAATTAATATTACCGTTCCTTTAATATATATATTTATTTGAACAATGTTTATTCTGAGTCTTCTTTGAAACCATGAAATTCACCAACCCTGGGTCAGGATTTAAGCCCAAGGATGGGGCTAAGTTGGTCATATATTGAAAATTCATTATTCTGTGTTTTTGGAGACTGATATTCAAATAAATTCCACTTTTAAAAGAAAGAAAGAATGCTTTGGTATTAAAATTACGGAAGCGTATTAGTCCCACGTATTTTTAGCTTACCTCGACGAAGTCGAGATGAGCTTATGCTATACCCCCAGCGTCGGCTTCCCAGTTAAAGTTTTAGGAGCAAGTCCCATTCCCAAGTAACTATAAGCCCTATCTGGACCAAACTAGCATGGATGATGCATCTAGGGATGAACACTACCACACTTGCTTCGGATGCTGGATCTGACCTAGGTTTTCCAGATGAGTGACCAGGTTAAAGTTTTTGAAGCAGGTCCATTCCCAAGTAACTGTAAGCCCTACCTGGACCAAACTTGCATGGATGATGAATCTAGGGATGAACTACCACACTTGCTTCGGATGCTGGATCTGACCTAGATTTTCCAGATGAGTGACCAGGTTAAAGTTTTTGGAGCAGGTCCATTCCCAAGTAACTATAAGCCCTACCTGGACTACACTTGCAGTTGCATAAGTTAGGGATGAACACTACCAAACTTGCTTCGGATGCTGGATCTGACCTAGATTTTCCAGATGAGTGACCAGGTGAAAGTTTTTGGAGCAGGTCCATTCCCAAGTAACTATAAGTCCTACCTGGACCAAACTTGCATGGATGATGCATCTAGGGATGAACACTACCACACTTGCTTCGGATGCTGGATCTGACCTAGGTTTTCCAGATGAGTGACCAGGTTAAAGTTTTTGAAGCAGGTCCATTCCCAAGTAACTGTAAGCCCTACCTGGACCAGACTTGTATGGATGATGCATCTAGGGATGGACACTACCACACCTGCTTCGGATGCTGGATCTGACCTAGATTTTTCAGATGAGTGACCAGGTTAAAGTTTTTGAAGCAGGTCCATTCCCAAGTAACTGTAAGCCCTACCTGGACTACACTTGCACTTGCATAAATTAGAACACAATTCCACTTGAAATTAGAAATTTACAGTCAATGTCAAATTTCAAATCCAAAATTAAAACTAACAAGATGTGTTTGTGAAACACTGATGCCCCCGTATGGCAGCTTATGTCGAAGGTTAAAGTTTCTCAAATGCAAGTCAAAATCCAGGCCAAAAGATAAAAAATGTTGATACCCAAAGAAAGATCTTGTCTCGAGGAAAACACCTGTGAAATTTGAAAGACCTAGATACAACTGTTCAAAAGTTATGGTGAAGGTTAAAGTTTTTTAAATAAAAGTCAAACGTCAAGGTCAAGGTCAAAGTGGTTGGTATCCAAAGGAAAATCTTGTCACAAGGATTACATATGTGAAGTATGAAAGCCCTAGCACCAACCATTCAAAAGTTATGGCCAAGGTTAAAGTTTTTCAAAAGTAGGTCAAACTCCTAGGTCAAGGTCAAAGGGTCAAAGTGGTTGGTATCCAAATGAAAGGTCTTGTCACAAGGATTACATATGTGAAGTATGAAAGCCCTAGCATCAACCATTCAAAAGTTATGGCCAAGGTTAAAGTTTTTCAAAAGAAGGTCAAACTCCTAGGTCAAGGTCAAAAGGTCAAAGTCGTTGGTATTCAAAGGAAGGTCTTGTCACAAGGATTACATATGTGAAGTATGAAAGCCCTAGCTCCAACCATTCAAAAGTTATGGCCAAGGTTAAAGTTTTTCAAAAGTAGGTCAAACTCCTAGGTCAAGGTCAAAAGGGTCAAAGTGGTTGATATCCAGAGGAAGGT